GCTGCTGCACTAATACCAATCGTATGCTGTGAGAGAATTTTTTCTAATGGCATGCATCCGGATCTGTGCAATGCCAAAACCCAAGAGCCTCAGTATCTTGAAAAACACATCTGTGAAAAGTAATTGTCCTATTAACAACAACAATTGATTAATGGCAACTTGCCTCTCTGGGAGGCAGCATCTCACAGCAACTCTTAAGTTTTGTTTTGCACACTTCACCTTTAATAGGAGAAAGAAAAAATATAACTCAGAACAACCACCCTTCAGACCTGACTTGGATGTGATGTGGCTCATTGGTTAGAGAGAGATCAATGGGCCATGAATGAAAACTCTCTGAAGGCTGACGGCTTAAAGCCAGAAGAGATCTTTCCATTTCATTGTAGGAGTAAATCCATCTTTCAGCATTAAAGTTTGCAACTTCTGACCTGTGACTGTTAAATGACCACATAAAAGTAGTAAAAGATTGTCTTTAAGAAACTGTGTTTGTTCAGAAGTTTGTAATCTTTTCTCTTGGAAGTAGCCCTTGCTACTGTCTGACACTTTGTATTATGACCTACAAACTACAACTATCTCCTAAAGAACAGGATTAATCCTAACTGGATACTACTACTAATACTAATGGATAACTTTCCAAGCCTATTACAAATTTCAGATATAGGAATTGGTACAGAAGTCTGAATTTGTTGCAGAAAGTTCTGACACATTATTTATTTTGATCCCAAATTACAATGAAACTCACCTTTTTCATATCCTTGAAATTTTAATTAAGAAACATCAAAATTTAGCATCATTAGTTTTAAGGAAATGCATAAATGTTTCCAGAGCTAAGACGCTTCATCACAGCTTAATAAAATGACCAAACTGTTTTGTTTCAAATTAGTTCAATATTAAATTGTACTTAACAAATGCAGTTCCTTTTTCCATGAAGCTGCAGCACATAAGCATCATGTGACATTTCTCTCATTGGGCCAGGGTGCTATTGTAAAGAAATGTCCGAGTGGTGAGTTTGATAAAAACCAAAACCACACTGCTGAATGGATGTATAGCTTTAGAGGATGTAATGCCGTATTCTTGCAGAAAATGTTGTGAGGTTGTGAAAATCTTTTGCAATTAAAATAAAAGTCTGAGAAAAATATCCTAAATAAACCTGATGGTGACACAAAGAAGTAGCAGCCAATACCTTACAATCAGAGCAGTACTTTTTTTTCTTTCGTACAGCTGGATATGGATATGATATAATTCTTCTGTCAGAACTCAGTTGCCTGTAGCAAAGGTCAGGTGTGAATTTAAGGGGATTACTTAAAAAGAAAAAAAAAAACCACCCCAAAACCGTACCTTGAGCTTCACCTATAAACCTCTGGATTATTGTACTAAACTTTCCGGTTCTGTGAGAACCGATTTTCCTCACTCATGAATACAAATGAAATATTCTAAGGAAAAGAAGTGTGTACACAAGATGAGGATAACTAATTCTTAAAGTGTTACTAAAAAGCTTTTAAACAGCTCACACTTGATTTCTTCTAGGGAACTGTTAGGCTACTGTTTTCCCCTAATGCAATAGGCTTCACTCACTTTTCAGAAGTTTTTTTGAATGTTTCTCAATTGTAAGGTCTGATTTGAGCCAATCTTATCTGCTGGTTTGTCATGTTTGTGTTCCTCATTTCATATCCCTAGCCAAGCTTCGCTTCACTGCTTGTTTGCAGAGCCACACATTGGGCAGCTGCTTGCTTCCCTACCTGTTTCCATTTGCTACTGTTTTAGGCATCGTCACTCCATTACCTGCTCCTGTAATCATCCTGTAATTCATCCTGTCTTTGTTATCTGAGCTTCATGCTGCTTTTCTTGCTGTGATGACTAGTCTTGCCAACTCCCACAGCTCTGCTCGTCAGTCATTGTATCATGTTTTAGGAGGACTCATGTAATACTGAGTCCTTTAGCTCACAGGAGGCTTTTAAACACTTTTGCTTAAAATATCTTGCAGGAAAGTTGAAGCTCACAAGAAATGCAGAGGTCATTTTTTCTCGCTTAAACCTCAAGAAGACTTTTACTCACATTGTACTGCCCTTGTTGTCCCGAGGTCTTACAATTGCATTTTCTAAGGCCGGGAGACTCATCCCAGGTACATTAACACAGTTATTTGGGCCAGATATATGCACACTATTACAAATACAATCTCATTTTATAATTTTATGACAGAACTAACTCAATAGAGCTAACTCTGAAGAGCAGTAACAACACAACAAATGTAAAAAAAATCACATTTCACGTAATCCTTTCCCTTAATCTCCCCTCCATGAGCACTGCACTTCTTTTCCAGCCTTATATTCCTTCCTCTGCCATTCCTTGAGGAAAGAGAGAAGAGATGTTTTCCTTTCACTTTAGCCCTTTCTTATCGGGTTCATATTCATGTATGTCATCATAGAGCAGATATGCCTGTGTACAGTATCTAATTTTATCAACATAGACTGCATATAGCTTCAGACTAAAAATAGGTAAGAAAATACAGTTGCAGATTCACTGGATCACTTGTTATATAGTACATCCTAGTTATTGCACCAGCTGTGCAAATTCTAGAGCTAGAAAAAAAGGCTATGAAAGTTATGATTTATATAAAACTCCAGTTAGAAATCTGAGCAGAAAAAATTAAAGCTGTCCATGTTGCAATTTCCTGCTTTGGGTCAGGACTTCATGTACCCAAAACCGGAGATTTTTGATTAAAATTAAATGTAAGGGTTTTGACAGTTAGAGTTGTATTGCATCAAAGAAATTTCATATTTTCAGGGAATGAAGAGCTCCCAGTGGTTTTCATATTCTCAGTAGTTTTAATGCTCTTTTCCTACAGTGAAAACATCACAAGCCCATGGCTTACTAGGCTCAGGAGGAGACCACCAGATTTCCAAACAAGGTTCTAATAAAATCACCTTCTGGAATTAGCAAGAATGGTTGAGATTTTTTAATGAAATGTAATTTTTTAGCACACTAACTAAGATATGCCTCCCTTGTTTCAGTTCAAAGTTTCTATGGAATTCTTTGCTCCTAAATGAAGAGAAGGAAAAAAGGCCTTTATGAAAACACATGGTTCTGATTGACAGATACATCCTGCCTCTGTAGAGCAGAGGTCTGTATTAGAAACCTCTATAATCCACTGTGACAATGGCTACTATTATTATTTTCTAATACCTTCCTATACTTGTCCTCATTTTTGGGGGGAGTGGGAGGCAGATACCATGGCTTGCCTGCAATATTATGTTCATTAGGTCACTTAGCTTATTATATTCTTAATTACAGAAATTACCTGGAAGTATCTAGCATAGTATAGGGGTACTGTGAATGAGAATACTGAGACACTTTTTTCCAGTCATGTTGAAGCATTTGTGCTAAAAGAAATAATGTAAGAGAGACTATATTGGAAGTATAGGTTTTTCAAGTGCATAATTTGTCCTGCTTCCTAGTAAGCTGTTCCTGCTGTTCCTTTTCCGCTACACTCTAGAAAGTGGGTGTTAGAATATTTGTAAGTCAGTGTTTTAGAACAGACAGGGGTTTTCGATCTACTAAAAGCAAAGTCAATTAAAAGCCACACTCTTATCTGAAAAAACACCCCAGCTATCTGAGGTTAATGGAAACTTTAAAATTAATGGTAGCACAATAGTTTCCCTAACTGAATATGATCTCTCTTTAGTTCACAAATAAGACAGAAAAGATGAGATACGGTGAGTTCTCTATCCCTTTCTTACCCTGCTGACACTGAGGAGGATAGGTCTACATGCTCCAGAAGACACTGGACCTCCAAAATGCTGGAACACATATAGAATAACTAAAACTTCTCACCCCTAATCTTCTTACATTCACTTCGCTCATCCATGTCAGTCTTTTCATGTGTACTCTCTATTCCTCCATGTCCTTCTGTTCTCAGTCTTTTGAACTCATTCCTTCCTTATTTGCAAATAGGAAGCACCTATTTACTGAACAGCTGAAAATCTGAAGTGTGACATCTGCATTGACATGATCTGTGATTTCTCTTAAAAAAAATGGTGTATGGACATCACCTTTTTTGAAGACTTATGGCAGCCCTCCTGTCTGATCTCAGAGTCTACACTAAGGGGCTCCTGGGCCATCCTTCCTAAATACTTGATAAGCAGGGGCCAGGTTGCATACCATTTTATTATTATTATTGTCCAGTGACAGAATCTGGCGGATGTGCATAACAGTCTGAACTCTCTTGAACCTATTAAGTGTCTGGTAGATTATTTGAATATGATCTACAATTCCTATGGATATAAGTAACTTCTGAAAGTCACACTGCAAACATAGCCGAAAGGAACACAATTGCCCGTTTCCTGTTTTGAATACTCAGTGCTAACACATCAGCCATATAAAATTAGCATATATAACAATCAAAACATCATCTAAAAACTCTGTGTACAAAATAAACAGATTTTTTGAATACTTTCAGTGCCTCAGCTTTATAATGCTGTTTTGATTATAAAATTTATAACATTTTTGAGTGATAAATTTGCCGAAGAAATGGTTTCATCTTCTGAGTCTTCACCACAGATGTGTGCAGGTAACTAATGTAGCATAAAGTGAGTACTTGGATTATTATTTTTTTTTTAACACCCTGGATTCACAATTTCACTTTGTGTTTCACGCAATTGTGGCAGGAAATTTGGAGCAGCAGGTAAAGCCGGCCACCCCAACCCCAGCTGGATGGAAATATCCATTCCCTTGCCAGGGAACATCAGTGCTTCTGGAGCTATAGCCTTGGCATGATATACTGCCGATGCCAAAGCTGACAGCAAGTCTCCATCATACATCACCTGCGTGCGGGGTTGAGAGTGTGGCCTCCCGCCGCGCGCCCCTCACCAAGGCCACCTCACGGCCGCCGGACACAGCCCACCACCACAGTCGGCTTCGAATAGCATCGGAAAACACGCGGCGAGGCCGGCCGGAGGAGAACTACATTTCCCAAGAGCCTCCGCGTCCCCGGGCCGACGCGATTGGTCAGAGCCAGAGCCCATCAGCGGGGAGGAGGTAGGCAGCGGTGCCGCAGGTGCGCGCCGGCGGAGGGCAGCGGCTGAGTGGCGGGGGGAACATGGCGCTGAGTACCAGGGCACCGCGGCGGCTGTTGCTGCGCTTGCCGGCCGGGAGCTGCCTCCTCCTCTTGCTGCTGCTTCTTCTCTGCGGCCAGCTAGGGGGAGGACAGAAAAAGAAGGAGGTAGAAACGTTCGCTTCTTTCACCATCGCGCTAGGCTGAGGCGCTGGGGTTGCCCCACTGCGCTGCCTCCCCCTTGTCAGCTCCTCGGGCACCCGCGGCGTCCCCCTCCGCCCGGCTCCCTGAGCCCGGCTTGCCCCGCTCTCCTCCCGTCGCGGCGCCAGGCGCCCTCTTGCTCCGCGGTCTCGTCTCTACTCTTTTCCCTCCCCAGCGCGGAGGGGGCGCCGCTGGCCCTGCCCCGCCGAAGATGGCCGGTAGCGTCTCCAGGGCAGCGGGAGGCAGCGCTGCTGCGGGAGTGCGCAGCGCCGGGTTCGCGGTCCCCAGTGTGATGTCCCAGCCCAGGCGGTTGCCATTTGTGTTGGGCCTTTAACTCCCGGGTTTTGAGCAGATGAAGGCGAGGAGCACCGTGCTGCACTCGGCTGGCCTCCGTGGTGGGCCTCGGGTGCCTCTGCAGCCAGCCGAGGGTGAGGAGCGCTGGCCTGCGGCGAGGCGTTAGGAGAATGATGTTAAATCCCGTGTTTGTGGTGGAAAAATAAAATACATGCCTTAAGTTAATAAGACTGAAGCTGTGGCAGCAGGTGTGTGCATGTACGGTGTGGGTGCTGGTACTCTCTTCAGGATGACTTCTGGGTAAGAGAGATCTGGAGGATGGGGCAGTTGTAACTGTTTTGGTAGCAAAAATCTGTCTTCAGCATTTAGAAAGGGAATGTGAAGAAATGCATAGTGTAAGTATTAACTTGTCCAGTTTCAGTGCTACTAGATCTTACAACACTTCGCTCCCTAGCTTGTCCTCGTTTTCAGGCCAGGTTGTCATATAGCAAGTGCTAGGCCAATCAGTACAGTCTCTTTACAGCTGCTCTGTAACTTTGCATAGGGGAGGGGATAACTGTACTGAACTGTAGAATTTTTTATTACTTTGCAGCTGTTAGTGTTGCCAGAGAACTTGTGCTTTGTGATGGTGGAAGAGAGGGAAGGAACAATTTTGCTAACAGGTCCTCTCTGAACTATCTGCTCATATAGGAGAATGATTAAAAATTTGTTTGGCTTTCCATTAAAGAACTATGTAGGTTACTAAGGCTTATTGGCCAAAGAAGTAAAATGAGGGATCACAGAGAAGGAGGTGCTGATGTCTTTCCTCTGGTGTCTAGTGACATGACTTGAGGGCATGGCTTAAAGCTGTCTCAGTAGAAGTTCAGATTGGATATTAGGAAAAAGTTTTTACTGAGAGGCTGGTCAAGCACTGTAACATCTCCACAGGGAAGTGGTCATGGCTTATTAGTGTTCAAGAATTTTTTGAACAATGGTTTTAGGTATATGATTTAGCTTGTAGGTTGCCCTGTGTAGATCAGTGATCCTTCTGAGTCCTTTCCAACTCAGGATATTCTGTGATTTTACAAGACCAAATTTAGTATGCAAAATCCTTATTTAAATGTGTAAATAGCAGTGTGACTCTGTGGTCTTCCCAGATTTAAGTAATAACCTGAATGTTGAGCTAAATCCCTTGGGTATCAATGTAAAAAACATAAACCTTTACTCCGTACGTTCTCTTTTCTACTCTCTCTGGTAAGAGTAGATAGTAATGTGTTGCTCTTCTGCTGCTATAATTAACTTATTTTCAAAACTTTCTTAATATATACATTTTTCAATAAAATGTGTTTAATGTTCATTCTCTTGTACTGTGATGTGCTGGCATTGCAACTTTTGTTGACCCTTTCATAGGGAGTGCCAGCTGTGCTAGCGAGATAGCTGAAGCTTTCTTACAGTAAGCAGCTTAGAAGTAGCATTTTAAAACTGTTCCGAGTAAAATTATATGAATTGAAAGAGCACAGCGTCTTGTGCTGTAACAGTACTGTCCAGAAGTACAGTGGTAAAAGGCAAAGATAGTGGAGATTACATGTGTAAAGTGAACCCAAGTTCTATGCAAAGACTGGTAAAATTGCCATAGCTTTCATGGAAGTTGGAAAAATTGTTGGACATACAGTGAATTGTTTTGAAGTGAACACCCAAGGGCTAATGTAGTAGGGTTAAAATGTATATCTTGTGAAATAAAAAGAATTCACATCTCTGTTTCCTCTTTCCTATTTGATTTGAGTGTATCTTTATTGGAGTGGTTGTCTGGAAAGAGGTTAAGGGTTAGAGAAAGGAAACTTCTTTCCCAGTCAGCTTGAAAATGAGAAGAACTTGTGATGTTAAAACTGGAGCTTAAGCAAAGAAACTATACTTGGTGACAACAATTATTTCATTTTTTTTAAATTTTTTATTTTTTATTTTTTAACATTGACTACCTAGAAAAGTATGCATGAAGTCTGAATGAGGTCTCTGGATCAGTTCAGTTGTATGAGCATCAAAGGTGGAAATAATGACTTTGCAGAAAGGAGAGGACTGAGTTAAGGTATTAGATGTTTTGAAGGACTTACTGGTAGAGGAAAACGAATGTGGAAATGAGAGAACATTAGTGTAACTGTTTGTGTTGATTGTTAAAACACTATGTTATAGCTGTGTTTAGAGTGGAAAATATGTAAGTTCTTAAATGACTAAAATACTTTTCCTGTGCTGTAAAATATGCTTAATGATAACTAAAGAAACTTTCTTCTCTGGCAAATTACTGAAAAGTGCTGAGATCCACGTTAGATTTGATTAGATTTGTACAAATGTAAATAACTATTAAATAATGTATTTTAATTAGTTGATGATTAGTCATCGGTGTAATAGAAGCTATTTCTAGAGTGTCCATCTGAATATGTGAGCATACAAACATTCCTACCGCTTCTCTTTAATCCTGTTGTTCACTTTTCTGTATTGTGAACACCCATGGCAGCCTTCACCACCGAGGAGATAAACAGAAAACATTGGACTGTCTTAAAATGACCACAGATAAAATGTAATAATTTGGAAGTTAGATGAAGAGCAACCCTGTATCTTTCTTCCATGCCTCACATGTAAGAGCTAACTGGATTTGAAGGCTGCTTTTATGATTTTAATTCTGGTGTTGAGCAGTACCTTTATTTAAAGTGAAGTAAAAAAAAAAAGTAACCTGGTTATGGAATAGTAGCAAGTAACTCAGTAAGAAGTGTTCTGTTGGAAACTATATTCATCATGCTTGAAAATAATAATACACTGTTTCCGCAGCGTTTGAGGTAATATATTTGTATTAACATACATGCATTTTCTGTAAGGCATGTTCCCAAGCATGTTTTGAATCTTTTAATGTATCTTATGCAAATTCGAAGTGGGTAAAGACCATTAAAGTTTGAAAGGAATCAATGAGAATATTACACTTTGAAATATACCACTTGGCTTTTTATTATAAATTGCTTTGCATGGGCAGTTTAAGTACATAAGATTTCTTTTTTTGACTGAAGCATGTAGAAGGAGGACATTGGTTTTGCAATATTAAAAGCTTTTCTCATAGAAGATAAAGTTTATTTTTGAGCTTTCTTGTAGATGATTCAGAAGCTTAGTTAAATCCCTGATAGGCAATTGGAGTAGCTATTTTTCTGTAGGTAAGTTTGTCGTTACTGTGAAATCTAGTATAGGAAGGCTATCTGTGTAGACCAACATATCAGCTTCATCAAGTTGAAATATCTTGTTGAGCTTAAAACTACTCAAAAAGACTCTGATGATATATAACAGCATTGTAGTAATTTACTCTTCTGCAACATTAGTTTCTGTAATGCCTTAGTTTGTGCTGAGTATTTTTGAAGTATTTCAGGTCTTGTATCTCTGTCACTGTTCCTTACATTTTCCTTCCTGTGTTTCTCACCCTTTTCACAGCTGGGTGTACAAGTTAATGCCAGTTGTGAGAAAATGTAGAAGATAGAGTTGGAAGGATGATCTAACTGATCCTTTATCCCAAAGCTCAACATTGCTTTTATTGCTCCTGACAAATGTCTAACTGATGTGCCCTTAGAAGTCTTCAGTTGTGGTGACGTTATAACTTCCTTAGGTAAACTATTACTGTGTCTTACTGTTAAAAGTTTCCCCCCCCCACCAAAGATCTAACCTAAATTTCTATCTGTTCAGTCCCTACATTTTTGAGCTCATTGTTTTTTTTGTCCTCATCATGGCCATAAAGAGCAGATTTTTTTTTTTTTTTAATATATACTCATCTGTATTTAGACAGGGACTAACAGTAGCTTTTTGATATTTTTTCCAGTCCCCCCTCCCACTCCCCCATATAAATAGAAGCAACTGTGGGTTTTGTTTTGTTTTTTTTTTTAAGGCTCTAAGTATTAAATGTGATAATTTACCTCACAGTATCTTCAGTTGTGAACATACTTTCCACTGTTTTATGTGAAATCAACTGGGATAGATTGGCAGTATCCTCTTGTTACTGCACCCTGTGTTCTTGTTTTCCTTTGGGGTTTACATAATCCCAACTTGTTTATTCAAGGTTATTAATGATTATTACCATGTTTCTTCCCTTGGAGCCAGAATAGTACCTTCTGCTTTACAGTACATTTCCTAGTCTGATTTGTGGTAGTATTTCACCATGAATGTAGCAGTGGTTGCCCCTTCAGAGCTAGTCTGTTGCTGCAGAATGAAAAGGGCACTACTTAGTTTCATCCTGTTTCCTGATGCTGTTTTCAGTGATCTGTAGTATTCTTTCCTTCTGATCAATGTTCTGCCTGCATATTTAATTGAAAGAAAAAAAACTATAAGAAATGTGGTAGAGCAAGTAGAGAAAAAGAAAAGAAGATGATGTATGATGAATGAGTAGTGTTCAGCATAGATTTGATGGCACACGTAATATGAGACATTCTTGATTTCTCAGGATGTCTGATATTACTTCAAAATAGTGATAATGAGAACTTAAGTTTCTTATATTCATCTATTGAAAATAGGTATTATCATTGATCTTGAATATAAAGGCTTCTTACTTTAAAATTTTGGTTTTGGTCTTCAGACTGTGGAGCACTGCATGTCTTTGCTTTTGAAATAGCATGCAGGAAAATGGCAGTTACACTAAATCTAGGCTTCTCTTAAAAAACTTAATTACAAAC